GTGTTAGCCAGGATGGTCTCGATCTCCTGACCTCGTGATCCGCCCGTCTCGGCCTCCCAAAGTGCTGGGATTACAGGCTTGAGCCACCGCGCCCGGCCTTATAATTTTTTAAATAGAAGCAGGCTCTTGCTATGTTGCCCAGGCTGGCCTCAAACTCCTGAGCTCAAGTGATCCTCTGGCCTCAGATCCCCAAAGTGCTAGGATTATAGATGTGAACCACCCTGCCTGGCTGTTTTTAAAGTGTGCCCCAAACAATCCTGGACTCCTCCTTACCTTCAAGAGATGGGTCATCATCATAGATTGGTTTTGCTGAACCAGAAAAGAAGAGTTCGATATTCTTCTCAATGAGGCCGGTGTCGATGGGACACAGGTGGCCATGTTTACAGTACACGCTGGACAGGAAACAAAGCATACGCTTACCAGCTAAGCCATGAAGGTGGGTCTTGGTGCAGACTTCAGATCAGGCACGAAGCAAGGAGACAATGTACAAGTCCAACACTCTTTTTTTGTTTTTGAAACAGTCTTGCTCTGTCCCCTAGGCTGGAGTGCAATGGCGTGATCTCGGCTCACTGCAACCTATCCGCCTCCCGGGTTCAAGTAATTCTCCTGCCTCAGTCTCCCGAGTAGCTGGGATTACAGGCCTGCACCACCATGCCGAGCTAATTTTTGTATTTTTAGTAGGGACGGTGTTTCACTACGTTGGCCAGGCTAGTCTTGAACTCCTGACCTCCAGTGATCTACCTGCCTCGGCCTCCCAAAATGCTGGGATTACAGACTGAGCCACCACGCCCAGCCCCAACATTCATTTTTTTGGTTGCGGGAACACTAAATTAAGACAGTGTTCTATCACCCGGAGTGTCTACCTTATTCTCGCACCTAAGCATCAAGAGTATGTGTGTCTGTAAGAGCAACACCAAAAGATCAGTCAGACTTACAGTGTGGGAAATACTGGTTTCTAGAACAGTTTCCACTATGCAGTGTAGCCACCATATCTATTCAGCTGTAGAACATTTCCGTCACTCAGATGTTAATAAAGCCTCATTCCCATCAAGTAGCAGTCACTCTCCAGTCTCCTCCCAACCGGCCCTCAGTCCCCGCAACCACCTGCTTTCTATATCTATGAATTCACCTATTCAAATACCTCATATGGTTAATTTTATATTACACGAGTCAGACCTCAATTTAAAAAAGTAATAAAGCAGGTTATAGAGCAGTGTGAAAAGGGATGTGGGAGAGAAGGACTTCTGCCTCCTTTTGGGCATAAATCTCAACACAGGGAGGGCACCCGTGACCCCACTGTCCAGATGCCCCTTGACATTTGGGAGCAGGTTCCTTATTGAAGACAGAGAGGCAAGATGTCAAACTTAAGGAAAAAGACATGAACTGGGGGTTCTGCTTATGAACCTGCTCATCTAGGCACAAGGATCACCCTTCCCCGGCCAGAGGTGCTGGGCTATCCTCAGAGCCCCCATATGGAGCCTGCACAGGTCTCTGGAGAGCACCCCTCCACCACACTCACCAGGCTTAGTGCCTTGAAAACCAGAAATGCTCAAACAAAAAACTGAACACCTCCTGCGGGGGCTCCCCTACCGCGTGCCAGGCATGGCAGACAGAATAGGTGGCAGCCCTGCCCTCAGGATGTAAGGCCCAGAAGAGGAGACAGATAGATGAAGACAGCGTGGATCAAGGGAGATCAAGGGAGGGCCTACAGAAGAGGGGGTCCCGCTCCCTGCTGCACAGGTGGGCTGGAGGCTCTCTCCATGGGGAGACATGGGAGAGAAGTTCTAAGTCCTAGGCAGTGGCAGGACCCACTGATTCGCAGGCCAGACCCCACCCATGAGTGGCTTCTATCCGCCACTTTCAGGCCAAGTACAGCAGCATGGAGAGTCCCTAAATAACCCAGGCAGCCCAGCTCCAGTGGACAGAAGGCATGCGACTCCTGTAAAGTGTCCTCCAGGCCACCATCCCACGCTCCAGGAACAAATCTATGATAGATCTCAATTCAGGGAGGAAGCTGAGACATCAGGACTCTGGCAGCCCCAGCCCCAGGCTCCCCTGAGCCTTTGTCCTGATGAAGGCCAGAGTGAGGCCCTGGGGCATGGTAGCCAGCTCTGCCCACCACAGCACACCTCACTCACACCAGCAGGCAGAGGTGTGTGGCCCTGCTTTGGGCAAGGCCTGGGGGGCTAGCAGTTGCTGGTGGGTGCAACAGCATCTTGGTCTGGATCGGGATCCCATAGAAGGAGAGGGAGGGGAACAACCATCAGCCAAGCACAGGGAGCATGTGGGTGCCCTCCCAGTGGGCGCAGGAACCGCTGCCTGTGGGTGTTTCCAACAGGGGTCCCCAAGGCACTTCCCCCTCCTCTTCACAGAGAGGGAAAACACCACCCAGGCCTAGAAGGAGGCAGGGCTGTTCCTAGAGCTGAGGCATTTCCCACGAAGAACAAGGTGAAGCCCTGTAGGGTGACTGCACCCACAGGGAGAGGGAGCAAAATGGGGCTGGGGATGCCTGAGAGCAAGGGCCCTCTGCCCACTCAAGAGCTGACGTAAGCCTCGGTGAAGGTAGGGGCCGGACGCCAGGCACGTTCCCTCAGAGGACACGAGAGTCAATGCTGAGGTCTGCAAGGCCCTGTGTGGCCCAGCCCCAACCCACCACCACACCAGGCTCGCCATTCACCTTCCACAGCTGGCACAGGCCCCTCCGAGCCCTGGTAATCACGCCCCCTTCTACCTAGGGTGCCCCACCCTGGCCATCCCCTTGGCCTCTTCTCTCGCAAGGTCTTTACTGAAATCATTGCCTCTCGCATCTTCACAGACCTTCCTCCTCACACTCTTTCTCTCTACATGCAACCAGGCTTTTTAAAAATCTGTCGTGGCTGTGACTACCCGAAAGGTATCACCCATTTTTGGCTCCGTGAAGGCAGGATCTGAGCAGCTATATCGACACCCAGATCACTGGTACCTAGCACAGAGCAGGCCTTCATCTAAGCATGTGACCCTCAGGATGTAGGCAGAATGGAGGGGCAATATGTGCAGTGTAAAAACCCAAAAATCAAACCAAAAATCAGCAAAGCTCTACTGTCCCTTCACCGGTTTTCCATGGTGGCTCTTTGAGATGGAGTCTTGCTCTGTCGCCCAGGCTGGAGTGCAGTGGCACCATCTCAGCTCACTGCAACCTCCGCCTCCAGAGTTCAAGAAATTCTCCTGCCTAAGCCTCTCGAGTAGTTGGGATTACAGTCGCGTACCACCACACCCGGCTACTTTTTGTATTTTCAGTAGGTTTCGCCATGTTGGCCAGGCTGGTCTCAAACTCCCGACCTGAAGTGATCTGCTCACCTCGGCCTCCCAAAATGCTAGGATTACAGGCATGAGCCACCGCGCCCAGCCCTCCAAGGTGGCTCTTATCCACGAAGTGTTAGCTTAAGACATGTTGCAGGTCAGGCCCTAAAAACCATAATCTTGAGCCTGTAGACGCCTCTGGGGAAGCGCCTCCTTCCACGAAACACACACACACACACAAAAGTACACTTACCTGAAGCAAGTCAGTTTGTGCTGGGGAAGTGCCTCATAACTCTCAAAGCCAGACTCGTTGGCATCAAAGATGGACAGCTTCTCATTTGTCAACATCTGTGGCTCATCCACCTGAAGGACACGGGGCCGGTGAGCAGAGGGACGAGGGACGAGCAGAGGAAGGCTGGGAAGAGAGCTGCACGTACCGCGTCTGGTGGGTGCTGCCCATATTTGAGGTCAGGGTCATCCAGGTACTGCCCGCACTGAATGCACTTGGGAGGGTGGGTCTGTGGGAGCAAGAACACAGATGATGGCGCTCAGAGAGCCGCTCCCAGCCGCCTCGTGAGCACCGCCACCAGCTTTATTCCCAGCAGACATTTACCTTGGAGTTCACGACTGTTTTGGCGCGAGCCATTTTTTTCTCCGTTCTGGGGGGAAAAGCACAGCATCGTTTAATTGTTTCAGAAAATATCAAAATCGCCCCTGTGAGGTTTCTGCCTGAGGCGCCTGTGGCACATGAAGCCACCGGTTGCGGCAGTGAGGCCCAGGCGCGAGGTCACAGTGGCTCTTCACCGCAGGGGCGTCCTGCCTGACGCATCTTGGTCCTATGTTCACCAACCCAATCCAAAATGAGCCTAAGGTTGCTCCCCAAGGTTGCTCTGGCAATTACTAAAACCTTTCCCTTTTGTTCTAGAACCATCATTTTAACATTAGCATCTGCTTTGGATAATGCCAAGAATAAATTCTTACGGTTCTTTGGGGGTCGTTTTCCGTCTCTTCTCCTCCTACACAGGGAAAACAAAAGAGGATTAAAGGGTAAGAGTGTTTCACACCCAGATAGTGCTTCGGTGTTAAGAACTTTGTATAAGTGATTATCATAAAACA